AATTACACTAATTTTTTATAATTTGACCCTTTTTTGAAGAAAATTTACGTTTGGCCCCCTAGGAGACTTAAACTCATCTTTGGACCCTGGGGGTCGGCACTAGGAATCATGGCGCCGAGGTAACACGTCTCGGCGCCAACCCCTGGCCGAGCACAGTAAGCCATCCTAGGTGGCGTTCACGTGGCCGGCACCTCGGCGCCACAGATCTTGGCGTCGAGCTCAGCGCCACAGATCTTGACGCTGAGCTTGGCGCCATAATACATGGCGTCGAGCATTGATATAAAATCCGAAACCAAGTTTCCCTTGCCGACGGTGCTCTCATTCCTTCATCCCCCTCTCGGTTTCTTCCTCGCCGTACCCCCGCCCAATCTCTTGAATCGACGCATTTGACCTTGGATACTTGGATTTGATCCATACATCTTCGCGAGCAAGGTATCCTCTCTCCCCTTATCAAAATTTACACATTGATTTGGTTTATATCACGTCTATTTTGCAACCCTAGATACGTTAGTACCTAATGTTTGAAGTGATTTTTTATTTTTCGTATTATGTGATGGTAAGATGCCAAGGCGTGGTAAAGCTAGTAAGCAAAGGTAATCTCTTATTATTGTGTTATATTATGTTTTTATTTTTTGTATTTATGTTCAATTGTAGTTATGGCCGGATGACCGGAAATGCCTTCGACCCGTTGCCTCTGCCTAGTGGTGTTCCAGTGCCCATGTGCTTTTGCGGCGATCCTTGCAAGGTAGCCAAGTCCGATGAGGAGGACACGTATAGGCAGAGGTATTGGATGTGTGCCAATTTTACGTTTGAGCCTACACTTCGTCAGCGCCGCATTAACAAGATGGTGAGAAATTAATGTTGTTTAATATTTATTGTGTCAAATGAAGTCTTGCATGATTTATTTGTTTTGTAACCATTGCATTTGTTGCAGACCCCTCCACCGCTCTGTGATTTTGAGCAGTGGATCGACACTGAGATCAAGCCGGAAGACAAGGAGTGGATGCAAAAATTGTTACGGTGGGAGGCAGAGGACAAGGAGATGATGGAGAAGAGACGCAGAGAGGAGGCTCTAGAAAAGGAGCACAAGGAAGAGGATGAAAGGAGACGTGTTGCTTCACACAGGGAGGAGAGGAAGAGGAAGCTTGAGCGTGCGCAACGAGCGAAGGCAGCGATGGAGGAGAATCCCGATGCCCAGAGGAAGGGAAAGTGGCCTCGTTGCACTCAGTAGTCTTCATGAGTTGCTATTTCTATGGTATATTCACGAACAATGTTGTCTAATCTTAGACTTTGCATTGTGTTGTCATGTAATGCACTTTTAGTTTGTCGTCATGTACTTCAAATGTTGTTATGTTGATTAATGTGCTCTATTATTGGACCTTTCATAGTGTTGTTGGTTTCATTATTTGTTGTCATAATATTCAGTTTAATATTGCATAGGTAGTGAAACGAGGCCACGTAGTGCAAATAACGCCATGGCATGTATACCCTTGAGTACACTATTAAATGACTCCGTCATGTTGCTAGTCTGAAACTCGTACCTCCATCCACCATCGTCGTAGGCTCTTGTCCATTTCTCAGGTTCTCTCATCAGTCCTCTCAGCTTCTACCTACCTTCTGCGTTTGTTGCCGTTTTCAGCTGCTCCAACTTCTTCTCAAAGAACGGCACCTCAAGCATGCGAGCAACCTCCTCGAATAAAGGAAAGTTGTCCTTTGTACCATCCTTCCGAAGTAAATTCTCGGCAAGGTGTCGAGTGCACCAACGGTGGTGCAAAGGTGCATACCCTAGAATCTGCTCCTGTACGGCACTGGGTATGCCTTGGTGTCTATCAGATATGACACCTACCTCCCTATGAGGGCCAACCACATGGATCCTAACAAGCCGCAAGAACCATCCCCAGCTATCTTTGTTTTCCCTCTCCACCAAAGCGAAAGCCAAAGGAACCAATGCGTTGTCTACGTCACAGGAAATCGCTACCAAAAGTGTGCCCATGTACTTGCCAAGCAGGAAAGTACCATCAATGGATAACACTGGACGACAATGCCTGAAGGCCTCGACGCACTGGGAAAGCACCAGAATGCACGAAAGAATATTTGCCTCCCGTCCTTCCATTCATTCGTCTTCGGGATATACTCGTAATGCATGCCTGGATTTGCTGCTTTCATTGCATTGAACATTGAAGGCAACTGCTCGTACCCCTCCTCCCAGTCCCCATATATCATCTTCCAGGCCCGTTGCTTTGCCCTCCATGCTTTCCCATACTTTATGTCATACTTAAATATCTCCTTACTCATCTCCATAATTGTCCTGACCTTCAAGTTGGGCTGACCCTTCAAAGTTGTGTATAACTTTCTGGCAATGAGGGTAGAGGTCAACTGTCTATGCTTCTGTTTTAGATCTGTCTGGGTGCAAGTGTGTGGACCTACAATTTTGGTGATCTTGAATTTCCCGGTGGCCTTTTGTTTGCGAGCACAAACCCTCCAATTGCAATCTGCCATCTCGCACACCACCGTGTAACGGCGCTCCACATGGGAGTGCCTCACCTTGAATGGTCTCTTATGTCTCACAGAATATTCCTGTAGCCACCTTCTTAAGGTGGGCAAGTCCATGAAGACCATGCCCAACTGAATTTCCACGCTGCCATCGGTCTCAGGAGCCTCTAGCAGTTCGTCATCTCTTCCTTCTCCATAAGCATGTTGAGAATGACTAAGGTCGCTGAATTCATGAACTAGTGGATCACGATCAAGACACAAACGTCTGATGAGCTCCATTTCTTGTTCGCTCAAAGCTGCAACTGGGCGGTCATCATCCGAATCAACGGCCCTTGTTGTGCCATAAGGCTCCTCATCATCTGCAATATCAACATCTACACTATTAGAGGCCATAAACCCTGGGTCCACATTGGTTGATGGAGGAACAGGAGCACAACCATCATTATCAGGATTGTCTCATGCATTTAAAGCACAAATATGGATACCACTGAGATAAAGGAATGAAATGAACAAAGAATAAGGAGAGCCAAAGTGTTACTAAATCACTTACTAGGATGAATCTGGGTCAAAGGGATCTCCTGAGGGGCACCTACAATATCATTAGTCCCACATTTTGCACGGATACCAGGACATACACCAAACTCATTGGAGGCGGATTGAGCATCGGGCACCACAACCGCATCTTCCACATCCACCTCATGGTTGGGTAACAGAGGCCCATGCCGGATTCTTTGGTGCTGGCGACAACCCATGAGGGGGTGAATACCCATGAGGGGTGGGATCATTGGATAACTTCCGCACAACCAAATCCAAACATTGAAGCTCATTCTTAATGACAGTTTTGACATATTTGTTCCATTGTGCCTCTAATGCAATTGGGACCAACCGCCTCAAAAATGTCCCTGACCTGCCATAGTGAAGTACCCCCTCAACTAAGATGGCATCTTCATTTGAATTGCATTTAAGCTCATCACGAGCCCTACTAAACAACTCACAAAACAATGGCCGATCATCGAATATCACTGGCACCCTTTGCATTCCAACAAAATTGACATTACCAAACTCATCTTCCTCCATGATATAGGGTAACTACGTTGTCCATCTAGTTGGTATGCACATCAACCAAGTTATTACGGATATATTATTATAAGATAACTAACCATAATATCTAACTACATTTGCTAACTAAATTGCCTAACTATCGACCTAAACAAATAAGTATCTAACTGTCTAACTATCTCTATAACAAGATAAGAGATTTGGTAACTAAACTTACTAACTAGCTAACTAAATCAATAGGTAACTAACTTTCTAATTATGTCTCTAACAATCTAATCTAACTAAATAAGCTACATACATATATTCCTAAGTATATAATATAACTAAAAAAATAAGCATCTAACTTGCAACCTATGTAATTAAATTTGCTAACTAGATTCGCTAAATATTCTAAAAAAATAAATTTAAGTTAATTACTAAATTATCTATATTCCTAACTAGATTTGCTAAATTTGCTAACTTGCAACCTATGTAATTTAAGTTAATTGCAACCTATGTAATTACTAGATTTGCTAAATTTAAGTTAAACTTGCTAACTAAATTATCTAAAGTAAATTAACTAATTTAAGTTAACTAAAAAATTACTAACTACTGTAACTTTACCTGGATGGCCGGCTCGCGAACGGCCCGGAGGAGCAGGGGGGCGCAGCTACCCGGAGGGGGAGGGGGCGCAGGGGCCGGACACAGATGAGGTGGACGGAAGGGGCGACGAGGGCGGCCGGGCTTCGCACGGAGACGGGGCGCGACGGCGGCCTGCTGCGGCGCTTGCGCGGAAAGGGAGGGGCGCAGGGAGTAGGCTCGGCCGCCGGTGAGTCGACGGCGGCGCAGGAGGCAGAGACAGAGCGCGCGCGAGAGAGATGCGGCCGCGAGTTTTGAATCAATACTCGGCGCGAAGATCTGTGGCGCCGAGCTCGGCGCCAAGATCTGTGGCGCCGAGGTGTCGACCACGTGAACATAGAGCTCGGCGCTAAGATCTGTGGCGCCGAGGTGCCGGCCACGTGAACGCCACCTAGGATGGCTTGCTGTGCTCGGTCAGGCACCTCGGCGTCAAGATCTGTAGCGCCGAGACGTGTTACCTCAGCGCCATGATTCCTGGCGCCGACCCCAGGGTCCAAAGATGAGTTTAAGTCTTTCAGAGGAACTAACGTAAATTTTCTTAAAAAAAAGGTCAAATTATAAAAAATTAGGAAGAATTACCGTCGGTACTCCATCCGTCTCAACTCTCAACTCAACTCTATCAAAAAAGGAAAAAAAAAATCAGATGGCTGCCGTCGTCTAGGCCGAAAGCCCCGCATCCGAAAGACGGCCCATGGCCCGTTCCCTTCCTCACCCGAGCGGCGGCGGCCATTATCCGAAAAGGAAAATAGGCCGCACCTTGTCCGCTTTGCCCCTTCTTCAACCTTCCGCTGCTGGTTCCGAAGGAAGGAGGGCGAGCAGACTGCAGCCGAATGGCGGCAGCGGCGCGGCCATCCAATGGTTGGTGCCTCTACTCTCCGCCCTTCAAGGCTGTACTCCCCTCTCCTCATCTCGGTGGTATCCATCCATATGGTTTTCCGATTCCCGCGCGTAACTTTGACTCGGTGCTGGTCGTGGTAGCCACTCTTCTCGCGCGCCTCCGGGACGGCACGGCCAAGTTCGAGCTCCTCGACGACTCTGCGCTTGCGCACGCGCCCCCGGTCTGGCCCCGACTCCACTGCTTCGCCAGGGTTGCCCCCTCGCTGTACGTCTGCGTCATCTCTCACTCGATTCTCTCTAAATACCTGAATCGATTAGAGGAATGGAGGGGAAACAGAGTGAAGCTGCAAAACCTTGTTTGTTCTGACCTTCTCGGTGCAGGAGGGGTGGGTGGTCGGCGGCGCTGAACAAGGTGGAGCACTACGGGGTTCAGAGGGTCACCGGCGACGGCCGTTGCATGTTTCGAGCGTTGGTAATTTGCAGCAGAGTCTCCTTCTGTGCGTTCTGATGGATCGTGCACCTTTAGTATTCTACTAGAACAATGCACCTTTAGTATTCTATTCGTTATCTTTCGAGTTTTAGTTAGAACAACGCCTCTTCAAGTGCGTTTTTGGCACATCTGCACATTCATATCAAAAGGAAACCTGGTGTGTTGCTTGTAGGCTAAAGGAATGGCAAAAAACAAGGGGATTCCTTTGGCCCCAAGGGAGGAGGTACAAGATGCAGGTAGCCTGAAACAGTGCCTCGTACATAGATCAATTTCGGCATAGTTGGCTTTTTGTTTCTGTTTACTTTTGGCCTCATGGCTTGTTAAATTTTTTACACTTGATAAGTTGATATTGAAATAGCTTGACATGTAATAACACTTACTTTCTGAAAAAAAAGTAAATGGAGATTGTTGGCCCTTTTGTTTAAATTAAAGAAACCTGAGTTTACAATCATGTTATAAGATACTAAGATAGCATGCCCACTTTAACAACCACATAACTTGTTCACAAGACAGAAATGGAACATCGAAAGTTAGTACCCTTCTTGATTAAAAAGAAACATGAATGAGTGTCATTTATTCTTATGAGATTTGAGCATCATATATCCATCTATGATGCCAACTGAGAGCTTCAATTTCAGTTCTTATCTTTGACTTGAAGAACAGATTCTTATATCAAGTTTTTTTCATCGAACACGCAGGAGAACCATTTGTCACTGTATTAAGAAGGAAATAGTTTTTTACAAACTATGTGGTCTAGCAGTATATAGCATTTCCAACTTACAACCATGACTTTTCATCATTGGAAAAACTTCTGGAGAATCAATGTCGATTTAGACATATTTACCAGACTAACAGTAAGCCCACCAAATTCCAGATATCTGGCACGATTTGGAGTTTTGGACACTGTTTCAGTCTTACAACATATATATTGCAGATTGTGGCCTCTTTTTTTTTTTAGGAAACCGATTGTGACATCTTTACTCATCCAAACAAGTTTTAAAAAAAATAATAATAATCTGCATGCAACTTTAGCCTGCATATAAACATGAGAATATCCATCTGTCACATGTCTACTGCATCTTCGTTGTATTAGATTTTATTGTTGATAAGATATTCTTCTAATTAATTAAAATTAATCTCCATTTTCCTAGATGATTTACGGATGGCAGTGAAAGAAATTATATGCGACAGCGAGACCGAGCGGCAGGAGTACGAAGAAGCAGTTATAGCAATTACTGTGGAGCAATCATTGAAACGGTTAGGCTCCTATAACTTCCTAGTTTGCTTTGACAGCATGAACTGAGTGAAAGATGCTAACCAATTCATATTTTTTGTAGCTACTGCCAAAGGATAAGGCGGCCTGATTTCTGGGGTGGAGAGTCAGAACTCCTGGTATAGATTTTATTGTTCTAAAAATTTGAAATTCTTAGTTTGTGCAGTCATCATTTATTTACCAGATTAGTTCCATGTTGAATCTGATTGACATGATAGACAAGTTCATGCGTCGTTCTTATTCTACTTTTGTTGAACTTCTGGAGGTTCTAGCCAAAATAGATGGAGCAGAATGCTAGTGCCGTAGCCTTACTGCCCGTCAAGTTGGATTATATGTCTGTCTTTTAGATATTGTTTGCATGACATTTTTCTCCTTTCAGGTTTTGTCTAGGCTGTGTCGGCAGCCAATAATTATATATATTCCAGAGCGTGAGGTAATTCTACCAGCTTCTGGGATAGTATTCATAGAGAGTTGCTGGATCTTTGGTCCAGATCTGTAAATATTGTTGTGACTTAAATGAAATTGAAATGAACATTTCTGGTTGGCCTGCCTTTATTGTGAAAGTGAAGAAGTAATAATCAAATGTACAAATAATGGTGAGTTTGAGTACCATCATTACCATGGGAATGAGTTGTGGGGTGATAACATTAAATAATTCTAATAAAATAAAATAACACCAAGCAGCAGAGCCAAGAAAAGGTTAAAGCGGGCGTAGGACTAAATGATCTATATAAATTCATAGCAATGTAGCATTGCATTTCAGATATCTGCTTCCATAATCTAATTCTCTGAATTCACAGTGTTCTTGGATCTTGATATTTGTCAAGATCTTTAAGCAAAAATATGGTAAAATATGGAAGTATTTTTACTTACAGTTAAATTGATAAAAAATTACTTTAATGATCTTTGAACTTTTCCCTGTATAAACTCAATCCACCATCAAATTTGAAATTCCTATTTGGATTAAAGCACTACTTTTTGTTTCCTTGCAAACTACATGTTAGTGACATATTTCCATAGGCTATACTTGAAACTGAACCTGGCACTATGTTCTGTAATTTAGCTTGGTTCACATCTGTGATCTATCCTTCATGTTTGCAGTACCATGGTCAGGGTAATGGCTTCATTCCTATAGCTGAATATGGTTTGGAATTCACCAAAAATACAAAGCAGTGGAAGAAAAAGACACCGCCCTGTTTGGAATGCGGGATTTTTTCCCGTTCCTGTACTTTTTCCTGTGAAAATGAACTGATTCCTGTGAAATTCCTGTGCAATTCCTGTGAAATTCCTGCGTTCCAAACAGGCCTTAAGACTATTATACAGCGGGAGGAACCATTATGATTTGCTAGTCTGACATAGCTGCAGAACTATGTACTTTTTAGTGTCCGTCGTCATACCATGGTGGTATTATCTTTTGTTTTTATACCTGTGCTTGTGCCCCTTTTTTAGCCACCAATGGAATTGGTTCAGTTATCAAAATATCAATTTCGAAATATATATATATGTCATTTGCATGCTTTGATCGTGCATATTTTTCTCTCGTTTTATTGGGAAAATCGAGGTGCTGTGACAGCAGTTTCACGTTGAGTTTAGAGTTATAGACATTTTATGGGTTAGCAGATTTTGAACTAAGATGACGCATGGCATGTACTTGTACTGTACCCCTGCCCTAGTGTGGCCAATGCTATTTCCCAGCGATTTGTTCGGTGTCCTGTTGGTGGCCGGCAGGATAATAGATCGTTTGTAGGAGTTGTGGTTGAGGGGTAATGCTTGATATCGAATTATTAGCACTCATTGTGTTATTTTTTAGAGCTTAGCACTCATGGTGTTGAAAGCATGGCTGACCGGAGTCATATATATTATATGTCCTTGCATGAGGCTGGGAATGTGGAGTGCATCTATTCCCTTCCCCTTCTATGTTTCACTTCGATTACAAGTGCGCTTCAGCATATTTTATTCTTTCTGATAATTTCCTTCACCGCAGTAGCATTGCTGCATGCTGCTACAACCTACAAGTTAGGATATATTTGGGTTATAATCATAACTTACCATGCCTAGGTTAATTATATCATAGTTTTTTAGGCAGTTGTTTGGTTAGATTCATTTCTTATCAAACTTTGTCGTAAGTGTGGCTTTAATTTTGTTGGGCACACTTTCTATGACAGTCACAGTTTATTTAAGGCTAGGCGTAGCATACTATGACATTAACCAAGCAGGTCCTTAATCGCTGCTCTCTACATATTTAAATATAGTCTGCATCAAAATTTTAAAAAGAAAAGGTCAAACATTGTAAACTCCGGCATCAAATCAAAATGTGTATTTTTTTTTATACAAATGAGAGCGAAGATACATTCATAAATTCGCATTTGACAAGTAGAGACGTAGCTCACTGTGGCATCTACATTGACATGTTTTCTAGTAAGACTAGCAAACATGTGCGATCATCTGAATTCTGCCCATACCAACTGTAATTAACTAACTATATTTTTATTGGATTTTATTGGGTTTAGTCTAATCTTATTTCGATTAAATCAAGACGTTCATCAATTAGTCCACGGCACACATTCGTCCTTGAACTTTCAAAATGTCCATTCTAATCTTTACTTTTATTTCATCTTAGAATCATGAAACTGACTGTTTCTAGCCCTTAAACTTTGTATCTTAGGCTCAATTTCATTCACGAACTACTAAAGTGTATTTTAATCATTAGATTTTTTTTCTTTTCGTCTCAACTTCATCCCTTGTCCTACGTGAAATGCCACAATGTCACACTGGGTTAGCTCCAAGACCACCTGTGATTCGACATGGACGATCATCATCAGGTACTAGTGTCCTTACCATCGTCCCCAGTTATCGAATTGGACAACACACTTTTGACATTTCCATATTTCGAAATAAATATAAATACAGATCCAAATATGCTTGAATGTGAATAATCAAATCATTTGATTATAATTTTACTTTTCATTTGAATAACTAAATATTTTATCTTACGGACAAAAACATATTCTTTTATCCGCAATTGGTTATTAGTTGAAATAACGTTACAAATAGCTAAGGAAAAAATAGATCTGATGTTGTTCCAATTTACAATGTGTTCTCAAGGTACTAAATAGTGTTCATAGAAGCTATCGTTACTCCCACAAAAGCATTGTAGTAAAAAAGATTAAAAGGTACCTGAAAGTGCATCTAGCCTTTTAGTGGGTTTTGGATGATTGAATGACAACGTGATTAAAGGTCTAACCCGTTTGCTAAGTGTGGACAAGTGATAGGTTATCTCACAGGTACTTAATGAAAGCCAAAATGATGTGTTATTGTATAAACAATCTAGTTCAAGCACAAGACAACAATACAAATGGAATTCATGCAAAGACTTAGTTATTGTGGGATTTCCATGTACTATGTGAAAGCAAGCCCGGTAAAAAATAGTTGATGAGACATGAGGGATTGCATATGGAATGGTCTCATATTTGAAGCTTGCTAAATTGAAATGAAAAAGATAACAATACAAATGAATGGATGATCCAACACAAGATGTGACTTGATGGCTTGAGATGGTGAAGATAGCAAGGAAAAGCTTCGAGGTACTAAGTAAGGGTGAAGGGCAAGCGACGGCTTGGCGGCCGAAGAACCTAGCTAGGGTGAAGAAGAAAGTATTTGCATTTATTTGAGGTACTAATCAAGTTATGATGGTCATGTCAATGTGGAGAATCAAATCACTATTGGAGTGTTTGATGGAAGTGACTTGATACATTTGAGATTATTCAAATTTGATGAATGGAATCAAGTCACGTGCTCAAGATGGCTATGCTCAAGTGAAAAGATCAATATCAACATGTTGGCACCCTCACTTGATGAAGACTGGAATACACGGCTTCAGTTGAAAGAGATCAACTCAAAAGGTTTAAATTCGTTATACTTTTAAATTTAAGTTAATAGGAATGCTGTACTATTAAGAGGGATACATCATATTGATAGATAATATTTCATAAGTGCTCAAGCCAACCCATGTGAGTTTTGAGTGTTTGAGAGACAAAAGAGCTTACCTGTGTTTTGCTGGTCTGGCAGTCCGGTATTGATACCGAACGTGTCCGGTATGTGCCCAACCACGATAAAATTCTTGTTGTTCTCGGGTTGGTTCGTCGGGAGTTCCGACGTGAGTCAGAAGTTCCGACGGTCGGGAGTTCCAACAATGGTCGGGAGTTCCGACATCTCGCGCTTAACTGACTTAGATGGTTCACTGTCCTGGTCAGGATGGCCAGAAGCCAACGGCTAGTTTTCAAAAGTCTTGTAAGTCGGGAGTTCCGACACCTCACATACTTTAACTCAGTTACCATGGTTTTCAAAAGTACTGAGGGTCGGGAGTTCCGACGTGAGTCTGAAGTTCCGACGGTCGAAAGTTCCGACATTCATCGAGAGTTCCGACACCTCACAATGTTACTATAACTCAGTTACCGTTGTCGCAGTGCAAGTTCGGTATGGCAACGGCTATAAAACAGCTAGTTTTTTCAAGGGGGCTATAAATACCCCCAAGCCTCCACCTTTGGAGGCTGCTGATTTTGCTGATACACATACACGTTTTTGAGCCTTGCCAACTCTCCCAACCCTGTCTTAGTGAGTGATTGATCAAATTTACCAAATCAAATTGTGGGTTGAGTGAAATTCAAAAAGAGAGCAATCCAATCACTTGAGCACTTGTGCATATTGTCAATCTCGTGATTCGCATTTGTTACTCTTCGACTCTTCGGTCCTAGATGGTTAGGCGTCGTCGGAGAGCACCCAAGAGATTGTGGTGTGCCTCAAAAAGTTTGTAATGGTCGATTCCGCCGCCTCGGAATCAACTAGTGGAAGGAGGAAAAGAAGTTGAAAAAGACTCCGGCTAGAGTGACCTTCGTGGTACCCTCTAGGGCTGACCTTCGCTAGGTCGCCCGTAGCCCCCTCAACGGAGAGTAGGACTCGAACGAGTCTGAACTTTGGTAAAACAAATATCGTGTCTCAATTCACATTTTATTTGATATTTGTGTTGCTCCAGCTCTTGTGCAGGTTCTCTGTGTATATTATCATCTCTAGTAGGTGCCTGCAGTTTGGTTTGAAAATAGAAATCAAAAGGAGCAAGTTCGGGGCTGCTCTGCGGAAATCGTATATACTGGACACGTCCGGTATTCATACCGGACACGTCCGGTATTAGAGCTCTGTGCTGAATATTATTTGATCTTTGTCCTAACTTTGTGTTGCAGGGTTGTAGCTTCTAGATATATTCTTTATACCTTATTTACTCTGTGGCTAACTTATGAGGGG